ATAAACTAGTATATATTAGGTATATATTAAAAAAACTGTATTAACAAGGCCTGCAATGGTCCAGAATTTATTCTCCAACTTTCAATGTTGAAGAAAAAAAGATGAAGCAATCCCAGAATGGGCAGGTAGTACCTCTCTCCATTGTAGCCATATCTTCCTTACTCATTATCTATAGTTTCAAACAATTTGCAATTATTGTTATTTTTAATCCTGCTAAAACCAATGATGAACATCCTATTTATCTACCAAAAAATCTACTTACTGCAAAGACAAACCGAGAAAAATCTACTGAAACGTCCATAAAATTCTTCACCTCAGTGTACCTTGTGACAGTGAGTCAGGCTATATGTCGTCCAATGCAGTGCAAAAGAGTTTTTGTACATTGTTAACAAAAACAGAACAGCCCTTATCAGAAAAGCAAAACCAGTGCCGTATTTTGCTATTCATTATTGCATCCAATCTCATTTCTCTTTTTTACAAAATTTTCATTGTGTTCCCTTCCTATATAAATATATACTCTAGATTTACTCTTCATTTATATTTACGAAAAAGATCAAACATTAGAACACCAGTAATGTACTGCGAATATGGCAGTATTTGCTTCCATACAGGTACTAGTCAAAAGTTGTCTATATAGTCTATTTGCTCGGTTTCACTTTCCTCTCTCTACGATAAGTAGAAACTGTGAAAGTAGCTTTCCCTTTTGCAATACTAAATATGATACAGTATTCAAGGAAAAAGAAGTTTAGTCTTTAAGAGCAAAATGGTGACCCATGGCTGAGAACAATATTTTTTGGCTAGCATGGCCCTTGTGGGGTTTTTAATCTGCACTGTTAAGTATGTGAATAATAAGAAAAAAAACCCTTCCAGTAATATTTTAAACATACTTGTTGAAGAAACCAAGAAAACTGAAAGAGATCACATCTCAAGAACAATGCAAGTCTCTCTTGAAAGAAGCACTGTTTCATAAATTATAAATACAGCATCACATGAAATAGAAGGATAAATTTAGCTTTGTTGACTGCGTTTCTAAACAAAAATTTGTAGAAAACAATAATTTTTTGTTACCAGCTGTGATGATGGAGTTGAAATATTGCAAGAGAAAGTTATTAAAGCATTAGAAAAGTAGTAGAAATACATATTATGAACGTTCTTCTAATTGTTTTAGTACATCAGGGCACACATAATGGTTTGGGGCAAAATTTCATCCATCCAGAATAAATTTCAAAACTTGCCAACAGCAGGTGACTAGTTGAGAGATCATAAAAAGGACAGACATATATGTAGTGGTAATTCAACCACTGTCTCCAGTGATTTTTGTGTCAAGAATTTCTTGAACTGAATTTGGCATCTGTGTAAATCAAATCTTTGAGTTTGTCTAAACAATGCTTGAACCAGCATAAACTTTTTGCATCCACAACATCCTACAGCAAGGAGCTGCACAACTTACCTATATGCTCCTTTTTTTTTCCGCTCCGAACCTACTTCAATGAATTTGAGTATTGGAAGGGAGAGTGAATTTTTGCTCACTAGTCTACTTTTATTATTTTCTATAATTTTAATTATTATTACTTCTCTTACACACTACAGCTAACATGAAAAATTAGCAATTTGCTGTTCATAATTGGGATAAACTACTCACATATGGACCGAAAGCTCATCCTAAAAGGAACCTAATGTTCTGTTGTTACTCTGATGAAAAACATTCTATTCCACAAAGTGAAAGTTAGAATCCTACAAGTGGAAAAACAATTCTTACTTTTGAATTGAAAAAAAAATTCCAATGAAATTAAATTAATTAAATTAATTCCTATGTTTGATTTTTGGAGACAGGGTCTATCAACCTCTGTGCAATCAAAAGGTTTTGTCATGACAGAAGTACAAGAAATTTTTCAGATCCACAAATGAAAGAGAAAGAAGAAACACTGAGCACGGAAAATCTCAGATTCTTCTGCAAGAAACCCTGGACGTCCTGGATTGCATGGGAAAAACTTGCATATTTAACTAGGAACTGTGGGAAACCATAAAAGGATTATTTTGTATTTGGACAAGGAATTAAACGTATTTTAAGTGAAATTATCTGAGCTTTCTGAGTCTGCAAAACTCTACTAAAAATGTCAAAAGAGCACATAATTACTTTCTCTCTTTTCACATGTTTCTTACCAGACTCTCCTGTTTCACTTACTGGCCCAAATTCATAGGAACCACCTATGTCTGTCAAATTATTCTGGTGCCTCTATAAAGTCTGAAGGCTGTTCTGTGCTTGTCCTGGCATAGTTCAAAACCGCACAGATTACACGGGTTTTTTAATATAGAAGATGTCTAGGGATATCAACATCCAGTAAGAACAGCTGCAATTCAGCAGCTGGAACCCATCCTACTGAAGGGGTACAGTAGCCTAATGCGATGGCTCTGCACTGCTCCCCGCCATCCCTCACATGCAGTGTTCCAGTTGTGGTAGAGAACCAGCACCCTAACGACCAGATGTGGCAAAACATCCTACAGAAATCTGACTAATTGTAATTAAAATCTGGTTAGTTTGCTCCTTTGTTCTGTGTTTTTGACCTACCTGTGAATTTCCTTCTCTCCAATATGCCTTCCACTTATCCCCACCCCACCAGAATTCCCTTCCTCCATGCTGATCTCTCTTTTCTTTGACCCCAGCCTTGCTTTATCTTCCAAGCATACTGTGTATGAGCTCAGCTGAGGCTTTGCAACAAGCTTCAGCAACAAGAAAGTAAAAAAATTACACTGTCCAAGGGAAAATGGCAGGCACAGCACTGGATTCACTGACTGGTCCTCACTTCCCTTCTACCAGCATTGAAGGTCTATGAGGTAGTGGAAGGTCCTCACCTAATTTTAACCTAGGAACCCAACACTGGTATGTCAGCCACCTTAAATTGCTCTCAGACCAGTGGAGAGGCTTTGGCACCTCAGGATTAAGACTGTAGTTAAACTGAACTTTAGAGATAGTCATCTCTCTCCACTGAATACAGGAGCCTAAATGGGCTTGATCCTAACTTAAATGCATAAAGACAAGTGAGTAAAGATAAATGGAGAAATCCCGGTCTAGCCCTGTACTTTCTGCTGACTGCAACCGTGTTGGTGGAGGGGAACAGAAAGATGGTTTCCATCAGCTCTTCCTAATAGAGAGTGTCTCACAGCAGGTACTTTCCTAAACATGTCCCTCCCTGTGGTACAGGCACCCAGCTCAAGATAACCCCATACCTACATTAAGACTTGCTATTTGCAAACCGTTTGAAGGAACTTTTTCAGAATTATTAAATCAGTAACATAAATATTTCAGGGAAAGCGTCAGCAGTCCCAGCAATGCCAGACAAGGTATGCAAAAGACCACAGAATGTGTTTGAGGGAGCTGTGGTAGGGCACCCATGGACGTACAGCCTTCAAGACATGAAAGCATAAACTAGAAAAGGACTTAGGTGCAGGACCCCTGAGAAAGCTGACCAATTTCTTTCAAATTTTTAGGCAAAACTTTCTTAACAAGAGTGTGGAAGATTTGGGGAACTTAAAAAGGAACTGATAGGAAAGTTCCATCCAGGCTTATAGAGCACATATTTAAACAGGAAGACAGCCTTTAAGACACTAAGTTTGAGCTTCGGAAATATATACCTCCTCTCTCCATATATGTGCTTACTGTTGCTTTTAGGAAGTATCAACTACTTTTAAAAAATATATGCAAAGATTTTGCAAAAGATCAAGACCCAGATGATAAAACAATCCAATTTTAATATCTTGATAAAAGCTAAAACTTGATCACATTTGTTTTTTGTAGTAAGAGAAACTTACTGCTTCTGACTTAAAAAGAAATGCAAAAAAAAAAAAACACCACAAGAAAACAAAACCAAAAACTTAAGAACAAAGTGAAAAGCACAGTAATTATGCAGACCCTAATACACTTCCATATATTCTAAAAGCTGCAGACTCCAATATGCATTCATTTATTTAGAAAGATTTCTTTCTCAAATACATTGGACACACATGTGATCTTGTGTATATAAACACACACACCAGCTGCATTTTCTTCCCTACTTACTTTCAGCAATTGTATCAAAAGAGACAACACTACATACATTTTCTTCAGGTACACACTCATGCAGAAATTTGCAAGAGTCCTGGCAAATTATATTAAAGCTCACATTACATGTGCAAGATCAGTCCCATCAAGTACTTCAAGAAAAATAAAAACAACCTCCCCCAACAAAACTCCAAACCAAAACCTCCTGATAACATTGCCAAATCATAGCTGCTCCTTACTGCATTACTGAGAAACACAGCTGCAACCTTGGGCTTTCTCTCTGAGAGATTTCAAACTGCTGCCATCTACAAACTACTGACATGCTTGAACTATTAAAAAATGTAATTTTTTTTTTTAATAATGGGAAAAGTATTTTTCACCTCTCATTTCCAAAAACAGCTGGAGGAGTTTGGCATAAATGTGTAAAAATATCTCAACTAGTAAAAGACTGCCAAATTCCAGCAAGAAAGGTAAAACAACTGGGAAGAAGGACAAGCCACTGAAAATCTTTTCTTAAAATGGAAACACTTGTGCAATTTCAACTCCCTATTACAAGCATTATTATGTCCTCTGAAAGTGAAAAACACACTCTTTTTGGACAGTTGGGCTATGGTCTGAAGGCCTCTCAATTTCAGTCTTACTTAGCAAAAAATCAAAGGAGTTTATCTTAATGAAGACAGAGCTTAAAAGCATGAGGTTCCCATATTCTGCAATTCTTAACACAAGCATTTTAGAAAAAAATAAAAACAACTTTATTTTGCACAAGCTTTAAAACTTTTACTGATCCCGGTTTTTCTTTAGTCCATTTTCTGTTAGAATCTGTGCAAGACGTGCCACAGGCTCAGGATTAAAAATAATAAAAAAAATATCAACGACTACACCAAAAAAAAAAAATCCAATTCAACCCCCTTTCAACTTACAAAAAAGTGCCTCATAGGGACCGTAAAATCCATGTAATTACCTGCTGCAGGATCTGTAACCACTTGACTGGTGATGCCAGATGGTGGTTCTTGAAGCTGGTATGTTGCATTTGTGGAGGGTGTCGTTGGGCTGGTGTTGCTGTTTGTCATGTAATGTGAAGGATACGGTGAGCTATTATAATACTGTGCATATTGGCCCTGGCCAAAACTGGGATAAGAGGGATATTCCTGCAAGACAAAAAAGCAATTGAATAGTCCATCAAAGTTTTGCTACTTTTTAGTATAAATTCCAAAATATAACTACAAACACATGTCAGGCTTTCAGCACGTATGCTTCCTGGAGTGGAAGCTGTAGGACCTAAAACTGTGAGGCAGTAAAACAAAATCTAAATTACACATAATTTAGTATGCCTTCTCATACAAATAGTTTATTAGGCACGCTACTGAAGATGTGTGAATAAGAACATCAAACTCAGACAATTACTTCTATTATTGGAAGATGATGGATAGAAGAAAAGCATTTCTAACCATTAGTTTAACTTGAAATTATGTTAATTTCATTCAAAAAGCTATTTAAGTGTTACATTTTTTCAGTGGATGATAATTCTGTTTGCTAAAGTTTCCTTGACTCATATTTACAACTTTACCTGCTGTGAACTATTAAATCCAGTAGAATTTGTGAGTGAATTATTTCCTGCATATATTCCTGATGATGTTGTAAAACTGCTGCCTGAAATGAAATGAAATGAAAAATGGGAATTACTAAAACACAGTATTGGAAAATAACTTCCATCACACAATTATATCATAAGGATATGGCATATTTGTAATATTTCCCATATGTTGACTGATTTGGTTGTCATCAGCTCAATAACATGTTAACATAGGGAAAGCGATAATTCATTGGTCCTACACCCCGTGTTTCATTATTGCAATAAACAGAAAAACATGACAGGAATTGGGAGACACCTCAGGGCTGACTGAATATTAGGCTATCCCACCCCTTCAAATAATCCCCAGTGTTGTGGAAGTAACGAGGGTTTCTTTACTTTCAGTTTTTGTTGAACGACTGTGAGCCTTGTCCTGGGAGATGCCTGTCTGTCTCCCCTCACTGAAGCCCACTGGCTCCACTTCTCCTACAACCTTCAAGAACTTGGTCCTCTCCCCTCCCAGAACATCAGCGCCCAAAGGAACACCAACAGCCGTAACTCCCTGCTCCGAGCAGCCCAGTCCAACTGCAAAGCCATTAGGATTCACTAATCGATCACAGAAAGCCTTGGGCCACAAACCTTTTTTGATAGTCTACTGGGCGTGACACAAGGGAAAAAAATACCTCTCTGAGAAGGGAGACCCAAGATTGAATTCAGCCCAGAGACTGAATTACTGCCTTCACCTCCCTCCTCCCCCTACCACGAGCCACCAAAAATAGACAGATGGGGCTCTTGTTTAATACCTAACCTGAGAAGCTGTTCCACTAAAAGGGCAGCAACCCCCTTTCAGCTGCTTTGCCCTCACTGGTTATAACCTGGGAGTGACACAGCCACCAGCTGAGACATATGGATGCACAGGGTGAAGCTATATAAGCCACCAGAAAGTCTGTAATGAGCAACCTATTGAACTCATCCAGCGGGAGAACACCCGCCATCGAGGCGCTCACATTAAAGCGCGCGGGTTGTTTACAGCCTCCCTCGCCACTGAAACCTGCCTTAGTGCAAAGATAAACCGAGACCTTGGGAGCAAAAACTTGCAGGTGAGCAAAAGAGGCAAGGAGGGATGGAAATCAACAGGGCGCCAGGCGTACAGATGCACCAATCCTCTGATGTACCCAACACAACTCAATAACAACCAAATCCTATGTGGCGCTTACTCACTGGGAAAAGCAACATTTCTTGCAACTCCAAACAAGGAGGAATGCAGGCAGGGCTGCATGCTTAGTACAACCCCTAAAGGGCATTTGTGAGCTATCTAGTTTTTTTAAACAACAAAAACAACCCAATAGGTATCCTAGTTATAAGAAGTCAGAAGGAAGAAATATTTAAATGCTTTGATTGCAAAAGTTACTAAAAACACACAAATTAAGCCTCAAAGTAGATGTGAAGTATGTCCAACAGCAGTGGGAGTAAAAGATGACGCTTAAACTTAATGTGTGATAATGACTGTAAACATTTCTCTTGTATTTCCTATTAGTGCAAAAGCTCTGAGGTTGTTGATAGATGCTACTAATCCTGTGAACTAAAATCAGATTACTTCAGCAGAAGAGTTGACATCCAAGTTTAGCAGATAGTACAGATAAACAGTGCTAATGAGAAAAACATGTTGTTTTAAATTTAATTTAAAATTGGAAAACAGATGTTATTTTTTATTATAACAAACCCCAGAGCCAAAATACAGCTGAAAAATATTTTAAATTGCAACACTTTGAAAAGCTATTTTATTTCTAAGAGTGCTTTTGCTGGATGAATATAAGTCACTGTGTCTCTATTTATTTCTGTAGCTATTTCTGAGTGATGCAGTAATACATTCAAACACAGGTGTTATAGGTGCATGGTTTGATCCATTCTCAAAAGATATAACAGGCCTCTTATAAGAAGAAAAAAAACAAACAAAAATATTTTGTTGAGGAATACATTATCTTTCCACAGAAAGTTTGGCAAATAATTTGCAAGAGCAAATGAGAACAGTAATGACATGCCAGCCAGCATCTCTCCCTCTCAGACAAAGACACACACATCCTAACACGCAGATCTCTCTCTTTCATCTCGTGGTCAGCAGTGGCTCCTATGGAGGAGGGGTAGGGGTCTCCTAGACCGTAACAAACATGAAGCAGGTTTCTTAGAAATGGCTCTGTGGGCCACCCAGAACTACTGGCCTAAAGTTGTTTTTAAAATACTCCGATTTTGCCATTTGTTTCTTAAATAATCGGCTGTGGCATGGCACAGAGCCGCTGCTCCTGCCTTAGCTGAACGAACACAAAAATAAGAAACTGTGAAACACACAAGATTTACTGCCCGTAGCTGGCCAGCTATGCAGCTTTAAAATGTGATAAAAGCTGTAAATTGCAGGTCAAAGGTCTATTTTGCAAAGAGCATGGACCCACATTAAAGCTGGGAATCCCAGTCAGCGTTGGAAGAGGGCTGGACCCTGCTGGGACCAGGGCACGGGCTCCGGGCACGGGGCTTGCCCCCGCGCTGCCGCGAGGCGCAGAATGTGGTCCTCCCCTGCGCATTTGCCACAGACGTCCACTTGCTTTCCTAGCTCAGCCTCCTTGCCATGGGCTATGTCTATCATCAGGGTAGGATGTATGTGGCAGAAGTTTAGTGCAGCTCTCCTGGGAAAGCCTAAGATGGCCAGATGGGCTATTTAAACTCAAGGTTTCTTCCATTTGCTTACAGTGTTTAAAAATCCTTGGCAAACTCCCCCTTGTTGTCCTAGTAACTGCTTAGCCATCCAGCACAATATTTTTATACTGTATAATAATAACCGAATACCTTAACGTTTACTTTTTTATGGTTGAATTCCCAAACCAATTGGTTAGGATATTCTCAGACATCACAGTCTTGGTAACTAAAACAATGCTGGTGCTCATCACAGGTCTACTACCCTTCCATCTATGAAGCAACTTACGTGCAAAATAGCTTAAGGAATGCACTCATTAAACTAAGGGCAGGGGGAGTGGGGAGACAGGGAGGCAGAACAGCCCAGGTCCTCTTCCCACCGTCTCCCCTCCTCACCCTCCAGTACAAGGATGATAAATTTGTAACAAAGAAAAACCCAATTACCAGAACAATCTTAGCAAGGAGTCATAGGCAGTGATTTTCCTCATCATTTTCAAAAGTTGGCAGACTCTCCCTCCGCTATTGTTCGGTGACTAATCTCGCTGTAATTTCAGCAGGGTCAGGAAAAGCACTGGGTTTAATTGGCTGCACACACCGCGTGAGGCAGCGCCTTTACGTTGCAGGGAGACATTTGCCCCAGGGAGAGAGGAACCAGAATAACTCCAAAGCTTTCAAGCGCGAGGTAACCCCAACCAGGGATCATGAGCATGGCAACTGCAAGGCTGCTAGGAAATCCCCTTTCCAGCAGGGAAGAACGCCAGAAGGGTCCCGAGCACACTGTCCTGTCACGCTTGGTTGTGAAGTAGGATGTGGGATCCATTATCTCCATTTAGCAGCTCAGCAGCCACACACAAGGAGATGAAGAACGGCTATTGCAGGCTATGACAAGGCTGAGGCTGCAGCCTGCCCATATGCTGCTAGAGTGGAACGGGAGAATAAACTCATTTCCCTCTCTGGAGGCTTCTGCACAAACAACTGAGCAGCAGCAGCACTACCCCCGTCTTCTGTCAAGAGAATCAATTTTATCCTTAAAGAATAGCTGAAACTATGAATAGGTTCTCCTTCCAAAATTAAATGAGGAAAGGGAAACAAATTTTCCTGTTTACTTTCAACATCTGTTCAATCAAAAGGAAGAATTAAGTCAATTTAAAGTTGTTTCAAATTCAAAAGTTAGCCCAATTAAAACATCACAAAGACATATATTCTCATGAATAGTATAGACATATACTCTCAACATTTAACTGCAAGAAAGACCTATTCAGCAATGCAATTGTTTTCTACTTAGCTTCTAACAGCTCCATCAATATTTTCATTTGAAATATTCTCCTTATTTCCATTCCTATGGCCTGTAAGGTTTCTGTAGGAGACTAGTCCTTCCCTCATCCACACGCCGTGCTCTTCATGAGCACAACAGAAATGACAGACACACACCACGGGGACGCCCAGGCTCTCATGCTCTGACCTGTGGCTCTTCCACCCAAGCCAGACTGTCAGTGATCTGCTGCCTTCCACGGTGGGCAGCTCTGAGCCCAAGCACGGCACAGCTGGAGCAGAGCACAGGGTCAGACCCCCTCCTCCCTCTGCCCTGCAGACAATACTATCGTGAAATCAATGCCTCGAACCTCCTCTCATTAGGGCTTCACAACTGGGTCATCTTTAACACACTTCTTTTGCAGAATATTTTTAGATCTTTGCCTTTCAATGTATACAGCTGAAATGCTTTCCAAAATCTTACTGTTCCATCTCTTGACAACCGCCACTCTTTCATGACCTTGACAATTCTGAACTTATACACATTTTGTATATTGCAGAAAACAAAGCAATACCCTTTATGTAATCCATTGACCAAGTCCTACCTTTGCTCTACTAATGCCTGAATTCACTGCTTACTCTTATAATTTTCCAACAAGCAGTTTCTCACGTTATCCCATGCTGCTCCCCCTTTCCTCCCTCCACTGAATGAGTTTCCCATAGACATCTGCAAAACCACTTCATTGTCCTACCTACAATCCTTTTTTATTGACATCCCTCTGCTCTGTTATCTTACAAAAAAAACACCTTTAGAGCTGTTAGATAACCAATATGGGGTGACAACTGTTTATTTTGCCTAAACAGTGTCAGCTTTATTGTTATATTAGGCCCTAATAAGCCTGTGTGTTTTATTTTAGCCTTCAGCTTCCATGGGGACTGTATTTTCATTTGGCTGTGTAAGTTAGCACAATAGGATCCCAACACATGACTGTGGCATGAAGGCACTACTGCAATAGATATTATAGGCAACACAGATGATGGGAGTTTTCAATAACTCTATTGTCTAGTGATCATGAATTATCAGTTCCTTAAAAGCCGGGACATCAATCCAGGAGATCCTCATAGTTGTTGCTGGCAGGCATTTTGAGCTCTGTCCTACACAGACATAGGGTTTTTTTCAGTGTTGTTTTTTTTCTAGTGTGGCTATCTGCAGAAAGGAAAAACCATAACCAGGTTATTGGTATATTTACTCAGGCAAGTAGAAGTTCACCACTATTCAGCATGTAGATGAAAGTTTGCGTACTACTCTTATACTGTCATCTTCCTCTTACTTGTCAGAGCACACTACAAGTAAGCAATACTTCAGATGTCACATGGTCGCTTCTGCCCTACTCAACACACAGTTCAAAAGGGGATTTAAAAGAAAAAAAAAAAAAAAGCATCTCTCTTGTGTCTGAGTGAAGGACTGGATCAATATACCCTCAAAGCTGTGGAACAAAAGCAAAACCTCATTCACTTAGTCTCCAAAAGCACTTCTGCCTCAAAACATTTCATGGAGCATTTACATGATGGTGCAGAGATTAAATGGAGCATGACAATAATAAACAGAGGTGCTAAACTTAAAAAATGTGCTTCGATTCTGTAAGTGATCACTTATTTCAACAGTTCTAAAGTTCGCAACACACCTGATTTCAGCTATCAAATTCAGGGGTGAAAAGTCCTGCAGCAGACATCCAAAATTAGCTATTTGTAGTAAACAAAGATTTTTAAAAATATCCGCTAAAGTGGTGAAAATCCAGAACCAGGCACACCCAGCAACTTTGCGATACGTAAGGGGAAAAAGGAATTGGGAGAAGAAGGTGGAAAGATATTATGTAAACTAAACAGGCAAGCAAGGCTACAAAATATAAATGATAATAATAGCCTGCACACACAAAGACTTACAGCTTTTAAATAGACTTCAAAGAAACAGACTTCAATCATTACTTAGCTACCTCCACAGCTGCAGTAGGTATTTTTATCTTCTGCCTCCCCGCACACATTCAGGTGTCAAATTATATTTGGCACTTCCTAAATTCATAATCCTGCCACGTTTTCCAGGACTCACTTTGTCACATTCACTATTAGTTAAACTATTGCTATTCAGAGATACATTTTTACTGCAATAACACTACAACACTTCACTATTTAAAAATTAATGAAGTCACTAAGCAAGGGATCTTCCAAACTGCTGAGAGCTGGCCCGTCGCTGCTCTCAGCAAAGGCAACCATCACTTCAGCTCCAACTGCAATAACGTCAGAGGTAAATACTTGAGCAAACATTAATTTTTGTCCTCGGAATGTAAAGCAATAAGGGGAGAAAAACCCATAGCATTAACCATATCTAATTAATGTTAATAACTGTTTATACAGACCTTGCATCTGGTAGCTATAGGGAGCCTGTCCAGGTTGAGGTGTGCTAAAGCTGGCACCGTAGCTTAGAAATCCTGTCTGTCCAGGTGACTGTGACTGTGCCAATCCACCTTCTGTCTTGATGCCTGCCCACAATGCACCTAAATCAGTTAGTGACAGCAAATCTATTTGTTCATATTCAAACAGGGATGGAAAACAAAATCACTTAATAAACAGCATTTTTAACATATACCTACTATTGCATGCATGAAAGAATGAAAACCGAGAGCATGCACAAATGAACAGAGTAAGGGCTGTCTAAAAGCACACATAAAACTGAAGTTCACCAGGGAGAGGTTAAATTCAAAACTGTGTTTCCAATAACTGCAAAAGAAATTTATACATGAACAGGAAGTTGCATTATTCCTTTTTTCCTTTCCTGTCAGAGGCTAACTTTTCCATATATTCATGACATTTCACAGAGGTAGATTAGCAACTTTATATGACTTTAATGAAGCATAGCATAGCCAAGCTCTCCTGCCATCCACCCATTAATGACATAACCGAGATTTGCATTGTACAATATTCCTACATGAAAATTACATGTCTCCGAGTGCAGTGTCTTTCTAAGGAATCAGAAGTGGATAAAGAAAACTAGCAGCAATAAGTGTAATGATTATTTCCAAAGCTAATTAAACACTATAGGAGGCATTCAGCCTTTTAACAAATAAACACCTAATAGACAGGAACCATTCCTGAACCAATCTCCCAAACTGGGAAAAACAGCAGAGAGTCATTAATCTGCACTGACAGGGAAATCCACTACACATCACATTATCCTTTAATTTCCAAGGTTAGTAATAAAAGAATTCAAAGTCCAATTAAATGAATGGCTTCCCTCCCAACTTCAGTGATTCCTCCCCCAACTTGGAAGGCAACAAGCAAGTAAATATCAGCAAGTGAAACACTGAGGAAATGCACACAATTCACCTTCTGTCTCTTAGTTTTAATTATAAGGTTGTCCCAACATGAAGTACCATTTAAAAATAATTACAGACAAAGCAATGGAAAAGTAATACAACGATACCTCATTGTTCGGAAACCACTGTTATTTGAACTCAATTAACTAAGTGTGAATTAGTAACATTCCTTTGAAAATGACTGTTAATCTTAGTCCATTTCCTGTTTGGACTTTTTTTTTTTTTTAAACAATATTCAATGTCCTAAGGTAGAAGAGGGCTGTGAAGTTACTGTGTTTGCAAAACTTGAATATCTCCCTATGTACAAATGGCAGCATGTCGTCTTCTGCCATTTAAATCATTATTTTTCAACTGCTGTCATTAATTACCCTTAATTCCTTCTGCCAGACCTGCTAACTGCCAGACTAACCCTGTTTGCTTGTTTTTCCCTGATGCTTACTTGCTGCTTGTTTCATGTTACAATTAAACAATCCTAATGATGAATCTGACACCTCGTTTCCAAGGGGAAGGTCCTGCTATGGATGTTTTGGTATCAACGATCCCTATTTGTTGTCTGTTTAAGGACTTCTGAAATGCTGATTACATGTTGCTTAGAGAAAGTTTAACTAACTCAAGCATTACTTTTCTAGTCCAGCTTTAACAGCCTGATTCAACTCCATCTCAGACGGAGCAGAAGGAGACGATCAAAGGCAGCAGCAGGAGGATGCCACTTGAGTGAAGACAACGTGGCACTGACATGCCCTTTTGCAAACCTCTATGTTTATGAAGAGCCTTTCATCTCCTGGGGCCTGCTCTTCTCACCTGCTCTCATCCTGAAGGCTTTCACTCATCAAACCTTGATGCTCCCTTCTGCCTTCCCAAGTCTAGTGTATGCAAGGAAGCAGGAAGGGATAGTGAGAAAACGTAAGGGAACTGCCAGTATTTGGAAAGAAAGATGTTGGTAAGCAAAGTCTTTGCTAGATGCTGGTACCGGAGTAAGCAGGAGGAGGGAGCTTCAGGAAATTCTCCCGCCTCCTCGGGGGCTTTGCAGATGAACCAGAGCCAGGGGTCCCTGGGAGGCAGCTGTCGGTGGCATTCCCCTCCACCCCGCTTCCTGCCTGCATGGCTGCACCACGGTTGAGGTGGGGGAGTGGAAAAATGAAGAGACTAGAGGTGCATTCGAGACAGCACCTTCCCAAACTCTGCCCTTAGAGAGAAAACTTGAGGGACACTGATATGGAAATTCATGAATACTTTTCCTTCCAGTAAGCCCCAGAGTAAAGAAACAAAAAGAAAGAAGCCCCCTACTCCAACTCAGAATTTTTCCTTTCACATACGTCATAAGTGAAAGTTATAACTGTTATAAGTTCACACCTGCTGGAAGCTCTCTGCTTGAACAAGGGAAAAGCAAGGCAGGCAGTACATGGGGTCTAACCTGCAGACCCAAGAGGAGAATTCTGTCTCTAAACAAAGCTTCAGTTTTTGCCTGTTGCAAATGAGCATCCTGGTGTTCCCCATGTAATTTATTTTGGGAACATGGACTATAAAATGAGCCTTAAATATGCAAAAATATATATGGTGTTAGGTCCTGAAACTTCTTCATAGTTATTTGCTTTTGAATATTACTGCTATAAAGTACAATGGCAAGAAGCACCTTAGTGCTCAGGAGGCATTATGTGAAAATAATAAAACGTGTTAAAATCCACTTGGCTCAGGAGCCAGGGGCTTCAGTGGTCAAAAGCAGCTCAGCAATGTACAACATTAGGCAAAATTATCAGAAGTCCTAGGCTAGGGATGAACTGGGCAAATAATAAAACAAAAGAGCAGGCAGGCACGTTAACCCCTGGTGAGCAGCTGCCAAGTAAAGCAATTCTCAATTATAGCTCCGAGGACAGTGAGACAGCTAAACTCAAGTAGTGAAAACAAGGCCTCGCTGAAGTCAGTGGGAGTTCTATAGTTGACTTCAGTAACGTCAAGATTTCATCCAGAGGAACCAAGCAAAAACCACAAAAGTCACAGTTGGGCTGCCCAAGCCAACACAGCCAGCCAAGCACAAACAGGAGGTGCCTGCAGGAGAAGGAAGAGCACAGTGGGGAACGGCATCATCAGTTATCACACCACCTGATCCAGCTGGAAATAGCAGACAAGCTTTCATCAGCAAGCTGAGCTTGTGGCGGTGGGGAGAAGAATCCTCAGCTCCTTAGTCTTGAAAATGTAGTTCAGATATCCTTAAAGTATGTTGTTTTTGTAAGTTTAAAATATGTGGATTCAAACTGAAACATCCGATTCATGTTTATAACCGTATGTTTGCAGCAAGTAATCAAGTAGCCACAGGAAGAATGCTTCCTTGGACCATAATTTTTGATGATATATTAATGAAATACATTTTTTAAAGTTATGGGAAATAATAATCTATTTCTTGTACCTACTGCTCACAATAATCTGCTGTAGGATATACCTGAGACCCAGTGGATTTCAACTTGCAGGTTTCAGGATGGAAGGTTCACCAGTTTTGCACTTAAAAGTTCTAACAATTTTAAGGGGCACAGCTTATACTCTAAGTTATGTTCTTTTCATATAAGACTTACATTACATGAATGTACCTTTACAAAATATACTGTCAAAAGCATGTGGATTGCATATTTTTAATATATTACATCAGAGGAATATAAGACCTATTTTCTAATACTGCATCCTCACTGCTAAACTGCTATGTGGTCTGCTAGCAGACAGTCTGGCAGCAAAATGTTCTCACCCACTGCAGCTTGGTTTTAATATTTTTTTTTAAATATTTGCTACTTAGTACTATCTCTTTCATCAGGTAGACAGAGCTTTAGTGGCAATTTACCTCAATTTTCACCTCCAGGGAGTTTTAAAACATTGAAAATTAGGTGGGTTTTTTTTTTTTTTTTGTGTGGGAATCTTTTTGAATCAGTTCTTCACCTCCTGAAAATCAGTGCAGCTTCACTGATTCACTTGGGTTCCAGTAATCTGGATCAGCTGAAATTCAGACCTTCATGTATTGACTTACCATGTTGCGTTGCTGGAGAGCAGTGCTCCTAACAAAATCACCAGGAGCTGTGCCTATGTAATGGAGGTCCCTAGATCTCTTTTCCTATTTCAGTGCTGTTTTGGTTTTTTTTTTATATCACCAGTAAAAACCTAATGAATCTCTCTCCTTGATCCCAAAAGAGAGTCATCCTCTTGAGTAGCTTCTTAACTCTAATACATAGATTAAGCACCACTCACTCCAACGGGGAAACTACCAGTCTTCCACAAGAAAAGCTCAAGGGCAAAGCTGTCCCACTAAGCACTAACCCAAGGGTCACATAATCTTGTTCTAAAAAATATTTACCTCTGGAATAAAATAACATGGACGTGGTTTCTTACCATACGAAGGGATTCCATAGGGTTGGCCAGGCTGCGGGTAGGTGGCATAAGCTGTAGCTTGTTGCATCCCGGTTGTAAACTGTGTCTGCCCATATGCAGCCATCGTTTGTGAAGAGGGGGTAGGAAGAATATGTGGGTATGGTCTGCTATTGATTACAAATGGCAGAAAATAGGACAGACACTACATTAGCTAGACATGCATGTACTTATTTTCAGTCTTATTATAATCCTGCTACTTCATTAACACATTATCATAGGTTGTGCTAGACAACAGAAACTGTAAGATAAAGACAAAGCAACAACAAGAAATCAATAATAAAAGAATAAGTAAAATAAGAACTTTCAAAATATTTTTCAAATACATTCTTAGCATTCAAAAAAAAAATTTTTTTTTCCTAGAAGCTGCTGCAGTTTGGATTATGACCTAACAGACAGACCCAATTATTATTTTAAATGAGGTTAAAATCTGCCTATTTCAGTTATTATTATTACTACTACTACTATTATTTTTAAAAGATATCATACTTGGAAGGGTAAATCTGTGGTGGGGAGAACTGGTGTGTTTGTCTTGGGCTGAAACCACTGCTTCCAATTGCTGCACCAAGGAGAAAAGAAAGCACACAGAAGTGTAAATACACACACCAAAGATAAATATTATTTTTCCTAATAGAATTTCAGAGTATTAACAAGATTTTTATTAAATTCAAATATAATTGACACCTTAGATAGAAAATAATATTTTATCAGGAACTATGCAAGAATGCTTAACATTAAAAAACTTGATTACGAATTTCAAATACTAAATTGCCCCTTTGTACAATGCCTGAGCAACAGTTTATTCTTTGCTTGCACACAGACAACATTTTCAATGCAAACAACCTATTTCCTAATGGAAACATTTCCCTTCGTGTTTTCAAAGGATTATTGATATCTCAAGTGCAACATTTTATTAACTTTTAGAATTTTTAAGACCTACATTTTATGAAGGAGCTTTATGCATGCCTCGATTGAAAACATATGGCCAGCTTCAGAGCACGTGCCTCTTTTTCAAAAAAACATAACGCAGACGATGTGCTATGATATTGCACTTCCTTCTCTTCCCACCTATCTTATCTGCTTTCTGAAATCCTTTCAGACCTTCAAAACAGTATTGCATAAAGATGTCATGACCAATGTGCAAATTGTCTTAGCGAAACACTTGACCCCAGGAGGCTAAATAAGGAGCTTCTCCCCGGCAGCCCGGCTGCTGCTGAGACAGAGCTTCACGCCAACCCATCCCAATATTCTTTATGTATTTTTGGGTGCTGCCAAGAGTGTGGCGGATGCGCTGGCGTGCTCTGGGTGTTATTTTTGGGAGCCCTTCCCTTTCTGTTTACCATTTGGGTGCCATTTCTTTGCTAGGTCCCAAGGTGGGTTTTGAAGTCTTTGCCAGGAAGGGGTCAGCGGCAGGTTATGAGACTACTGTAAAGTCAGACAGCCAGAGAAACAACAGGCCCTGCTGCTAAGTACCTGGAAATAAACAAGGCATGGATAATTACCCTTCACCAGCTACCCCTTTCCTGGCCAACCACAGGGAAAATCCATCATCTTTACACTCCAGGATTGCTCGCGAAGCATAAGGGGTAGCAGGGAATCTCTATCTGTGCCTTCCATGCCTGGTAGTTTTTCTTTTCTGTGGCCTACAAGGCTGCAGATATGTCAAACGTTACAGTCCGACCTCTAGTCAGATGACCACGGAAGTACGTAGCTACTAGTAAACACATTGCATTTTCTTCTTTCAGAGATTTAAAATACCCTAGAAATCTTTTTTTTGCCTTTCAAGTTCGATACTTTCAAAGTCAACAGCACATGTATAAACATGGAGGCTGTGACAAGACCAGAAAAAAGTTGGCTACGTGGAGCCTGACTGGTTGCGAGATGTCAAATTTTGCTACCCTGGAAATATAATCCTATGACACAGTATTACATCCTTTGTTTTTTTTTTGTTTTTTTTTTTTTTTTAAATTTATTTGATTTGCACCATAAAAGAGATGTGCTAGAAATACCATAGTTAATCCATAGGTATGCAAACCTGTGCAAACATTTTAGGATTTTCTGACAGTGTTTGTTTCCTGTTATGTTAGCAGCTAAGATGTGCTTGGCTGCCAGGAAGAAAAAAAGCCTGACAAAAGAATGATACCTTGATAATAAAAAATTACAACAAATAAGGAAGACCTATCCCTCAATTACAACACTAATCACAGAGGCAGGTATGTTTACTCACAGAAAACAAAACAATAATTACTCTGGGCCAGAATACTCCCTAGTGAGACTCCCACTGAAGACACCAATGAACATTAATAAGCCTGATGCTGTAATGCTCCTTACTTGGGCAAAACTCCTGTGGACTTATTCTGTCTGAATAAGATGAACAGAAATAGGTATAAGCTGTAAAGTGCACAGGGCTTTTTAACAGCTGTGCACAGATTTAGACCACATGGGATAAGAACATAGTAAATAAAAAATGCTGAGCTTAAAACCTTTGTTTATTCCTTACCTGATCCTGAGAAATTGTCTAAAGACCCGTCTGTGGTAGTAGTAGTAGCAATCTCACTGCTGCTCATTGGTTCTGTTTTAACTATAGAAATATAAATAAAATATATTCTATATGCACCTAATATTCTTGCACACACATGCACACACACTCACTACAGCCACAAATTCAATAAAACAAAAATCTGCCGACAATGTTTTAAATCATGGCTATCGATATTTTGCATTTTATGTATTTGCATATACAAACAATGCAAAGTACTGGCAGCTATGATTTACACATACATATACAATGATCAAGAGGGTTATTTCTGTCCCCAAGGAATAAGAGCCACTGTAACAAACCAGAAGTCCCCATGCAACTCTCTGCACCTGTCCTGATTCCTCTTAATCCTGCAGACCCAACAATAAGGGTCCACATTTAGATCAGGTCACACAGACATTTACAGGCTTGAAAGACAGCAATTTGAATAAGACAAAAAAGGAACTGATTTTTAAATGGGTTTATCTGAGAGATGTTTTTTTTTTTTTTTCAATCCAAATAATTTTCAGAGGAAAAATTAGAATTTATGATGAAGTAAAACACTTTCCTCATGGTGGATTTGTCCTCTCAGAATGAAAACCAACTTTATACTCAGCAACCCTGAATAAACAAAGGGGACACAGTCCTCACCAGATACCTCAAAGAATGCTTTTACATTTTATTCCCTCTGCACCCGCAACCCAACACGGCTGTCAGAGAGTGAAAAAGAATGGGAGTAAGAGAGACTGTCTCCTGGCTCATGCTGCTTCATAATGAAATATTAATTAATGACTTTTAATAAAGCCTCAAGTAAATAACGAAATTTCCCTTTCTGTTGCTCCAGCGCAATCTCGGTAACAACAGTATTCCGACCCATGAAGCAAGGACAGGGCTGACCTGGCAGCAGGGTCAGGCACCTACTCTCAGGGAGCTATCGGATCAGCACGGCAATCTCTCAAATCCATTTTTACATACCCAGCTTTTGCACTTACAGCACACCAAAAGCAACTGAGGATGAAGTTTCGGAAAACAACAGAGCTGATCTTATTGTCAACATCCTGCCGCTTGTGCTCTTGTTGACACACAGAGTCACCGCTTCCCACGCATCCCTGACCTTTTAGCGAGCCAGTTCAGTAACATGTCAGAAAGTGAATCCAAGAAAACCACATCAAACCGCACCCCATTTGATGTGTAAAGCCTTAGTGTCATCTTGATGTAGGGGTGTGTGTGTGTGCATGTATGTTTGTCTATACGTGTGTGTTCAGGAATTGCAACAATCACTAGCAGAAACCCTTTTGGTGCCAGGTTTGCAAAGGGTGACAGAGAGGCACTTTCCCCATTTGAAAAGGACTTTTCCTTTCCTTGCCAGTGCAAATTCTTATTTCCACATGCCTCACTATTTCCTTCACCTGACCTCATCCAAGGGATTTACATGCAGTCACTCAAGATTTTACTAATTGCCCACTACTTTCTTCTGATTCTCATGCAGGATGTTTTGTCTGCACACGCTGACTCGGGAGGTCAAATACTAGATCCACACAAACCTCTGCTACATCTGCATTAGCAAGCAGTGCAACCCAGTAAGAAAAGTTTCATGGAATGAAATGGCTGGTGCAGAGGGTCCAGTATCCACAGTTTAGGAAATTTTTAGAGGGGTATTCATGCTAGGTTTAGTCTTGTCCCAGGGAGGGAGTGCCCATCAGCAGCTGGAAGAGGTTAGCTTCACTCCTGCAGAGCACCTTTTTTTGAAAGAAGTGAAGTTCAAGAGAATCCACAAGGTGAATTAACACATGGTACGAAGTGGTGGCCAAGAGGTTCACTTCAGGAGTGCACTCATGATTTGAACCACAACCCTAATACAAACTTCTTTCTTAAAAACACAACATATAATACATCCAACATCCATTTCACAACTAAATACTCAAAGTCTAATGACAGATGCAACAAAAGATTTGTTGCAAAGTATCTATCCCAAGTAATTTTTACTGCAAATTCTACGCAGTTTGTTAATCCAGATACATCTACATTATCTTCTGCTTTTTCTTAGAGGTTTATCACAGCAACATTTTACAGTCAGACTAACACTTCCCTCATAGGTTACTCCAGCTTTCCCAAAAAATTGCAGGTCTTCTGAACCTGATTTCCATAATGCAATTATACTTTTGGAAATAACAATGAAAGATGCTTTTCTCTATAGCTGACAGCTGTGGGGGAGGAAAAGAGAGGAAGATGAGACAGATCAACCTAACTTGGGGGAAAGGGTGGAAGATTTCAGTATATGCTTTCTCCAAACTCTTCCCCTCTTCTCTACTGGAGAAACAATTCTTCTGTGTCCTATATAAAATAAAATATTATTGTTTGGATCACCGCAAACTAGCAGTCCAAGGGACTATGCTGAGCCACCTCAAACAATATAGAGACCTATCGCATCATTTGTTCTAGATAAAGATTTCTAGGATAATTTCTTTCTAAGTGGATGTAAATACCTCTCTTGCCATTGGTTTAAAAGCCTACTTTACTCAGATCCTTGTGAAAGTTGCCATTTTGGGAAAAAACTCATCAAAATTGAATTTCTGTCTCTATGACTGATAAGCAATACTTCAGCTCAGCCATGTATATAACTGAATGCTGTTTACTAAACATATAACTTTTGAAGATAGAGGAAAACATATATAAAACACACCGCAGTGTCTTCTTCATAGAAATGAATTCTAGTTGCTGAATGAGGTGCTCAGAAATTTTTCATTACAACTGTTCCTTATGTCTCCTTTCTCAGCTGTTGCTATTTCCTGAATATATGAAAAAATGGGATAAGAAACACATTATTCCTGATCTGGATACCTATTAGTAGGGAGATAATAAGTAAGCCTATCATGCTATCTTTAGGAGCAACCACGACCTTAACAGACCTTCTGCTGCAGCTAGTTGGGAATTTAATAAAGACAGTCAGAAACAGAAAAGCCCTCCATTCACCCATCATTTTAATCAAAATGCCAGAAAATGACCGCATAGTTCCTTCTATCTGAGCCTAAACGTATTTCAAGAGGATGAAAGCTTGCTGTATAAAGAAATAAACTGAGAAGAAACAGCCATGGTTTTACCAGTTGGAAATAGGTCTCTCGTTTGCCCAAGACAAAAACTGACCTGCAGTGGAGCACATTTCCCCCTTGCCAGTAACTGCCAACAGCATGCTCAGTTGTGGCAGAATCATGCAGAAGGAGAGCTCTGAAGGGATTTCCTAATGTTACAAGTCTGCCAGTCTATCACAGCAGCACGTCAGTAATCCATCTCTATCACCAGAGACATGCGGAGCTGTCCAAGGAAGCAAAGCTTTGGACGGGCATGGATCTGGCCCTGCCACATGCTCCTTAAGCATGCTCTGGATTTCAGCTCTCCACATTTTCCACAACAATTAACATTTCTGCAACGTGTCCTAAGCTTTCACAGGATGACACTGGCAATCAGTGGGAATACTGCCACGTCAGTGCAGAACATGTTGCAAGCTTGCCAGTAACTGCCAGCACACTCATTTGTGGCAGAGACCACAGAAAGCAACACAGGAGAGCTCCCATTTCTGCTGTTGCTTTATCAAAACAGACCTTCACAAAGGTGCAGAAATATCAGACTCACGTTACAGCAACAGACACTGATATAGCAATATGCTACTAAGTTTTAGTGCTGGCAAAATCACTCGTGTAATAAACCAGATTATCAATAAGAAATTAAAGATGAAATCTAACATATTCCTAATCTGCTGCAAAACTTCAACAGTTATTTAGAATTACTGATATAGATTTGGTGTATATACTGAGGAGCTTAAGAAGCTATGTCAACAGAGAGATACTTTTCCTCCTTATTCTAATCATTTATGAGATTCTAAAAACCAGATGTAAAAAGAAACTGTGTAAGAAAACAACACAACAGAAAAACAAAAAAAAAGGAGTAGCAGATAATAACACGTTAGCTCTGAGAAAAAAAGCACAAAAATTCTGAGATAGCACAACTGCTCATCTAATGTTAGATATTGTCAATATATTTCTTCTTACGACACTCAAATATTGCAATTGCAATGTGTCCCATTTGTCAGCCATATTACAAGAGGGGGTTACAAATGATTTACATGGCAGTTTCTGAACTCCACCAAGAGAGAACTTCAGAGCAGAACCCACAAGTTCATGTGGTTCATTGGCCAAGTAACAACTTTCTGAGTTCACAGTTTGTCATGCAATCACTGGTGTGTATAGCAATAGAGTGCTATGAGTAACCAGATGCTGGCTGTTTTAAATATGGATTTAGAGACACAGCATTTGGCCATTCCTAACACAAAGGTCACATGCATACATCATAAATATTACACCTCCAAGCATGCAAAAAGTCAGGTTTTTAAATATCTTTTTAAAATTACTTTGATTATGTGAAATACATACAAGGCTTGCTCTACTGAACTAGTCTTTGTTAACAGCTACACTATATACATTAAACCAGAATAGTAATATTAGAAACAAAGCTGACTTATTAAATTGCTTTTCATTTTGCTGTTTTATGACTAAATTAATACTATAATGTTATATTCTTTGTACCATAGGAATAAGTGGGCAAAATGAAATAATTCCTGGCTTGACAGCTCTTAGTGTTCATGGGGCACAAAGAGTCTCAACAGTTAAGTAAGTGAGTCTGTTAGTGTGTTTATAGACATACATATAAATACAACCTCTAGCTCTATTTTGGTTTGTATCAAGGTGGCATCTTCAAATAAGGTTAGCAGCTAAACACCAGGTAGATATCTTGATTAAGTACTTTATGTATCCATTACTGTCCATACACTGTTTTGCTTAACACCATCCTCCTTCTGTAGCCACTAGAAGCCCAAAGCTCACCTGAAAGTTGAAAAAATAATTGTCACTAACAACAGGGCAAAAATTCTACCTTGAATCTCTAAGTTGATTATACTGTCCATTACTTTATTCAAACTCTCCTCTGTTTGTACTGAATAATCTTGCAATTATAAACAGGTTACTAAAGGTTACAGGTTACTTATAAACAGGTTACTCAACTATACTAAT